CATGGATACAAACCGGAGGAGCCAGGCATGGGGGGAGGTGGCAGAGACAGTGAGTGACACTGGTAGGTTTTCGCCTTTTTGGGGAGTTTATATCCAGTGTACTTCGTTTGAATGGACAGCTAGCAAGCATAGACAGTATATTTAGCCAGCATGGATGTAGCATGAATGCTTTGCTTTGTATGTCCGGGGCGGGACATTCATGTGATTGGTTGTTGGTCGCGTTGTTCGTAAAAAATCCCCAAGCTTCAGACACGCCCACCGCCAAGCGGTAACGCACGCCGCCGTGTGTAGGGGCCGAACACTTGCTGGAGCGCGGGCACTAATTTAGCGCGGGCACTTATTTTGTGAGCGCGCTCAAGCCAGCGGAGCGTCCACATAGCAGCGTGCGTTGACGCTTGGAGGTGGCCGTGTCTGAAGCTTGGGGATTTTTTGCGAGCAACGCGACCAACAACCAATCACATGAATCTCCTGCCCCCGACATACAAAGCAATAGCAATGTTAAAACGAAGTAAACTGGATATAAAATCCCCAAACAGGCGAAAACCTACCAGATGCCTCGCTCCTCCGGTTTGTATCCCGGTAGATCAACAGAGACTGATCATACAGCACCGGGTGATTCACTACCGCTATAATGAATTTTCCCTCCATTTTTTTTAATATGAGGAAATGACCTGCGTAGTCTCTCCCAGCATACACACGGTTTGATTGGCTAGTGCTTGTACTGGCAGATTTGCATAAACGGGATTTCATTGGCTGACGCCTCCGTCGAGGCGTCAAAAGTTGAACATTGCTCAACTTTTGACGCCAGCAACGCTCCACGTCGCTTCCCAAAATGCAGTTCGGCTAAAAGTGACGTCACCCCATTCAAAGTGAATGGGCAGAAGCGTTGGAAGCTTCAACGCACGCCGCTGTGTGGACGGGCCGTTGTGTGGTAAGGTAGGCACAGATGAGCTCTGCCTCACCTCAAAATGCGTCACCTCACAGAAACTGTCTGGAAAGCGGGCACTAAGCGCATGCCTGTTACCATCTCACTGTAGGTCACCAATGTAATGTTTGTAGATCCCTTTATTACATTTATCCTCGCCATCCATAGTCTCTAAATAACTTATTTCACGTATGATATTTAGGCTCGCCGTACAACGGCAATGAAAAAAGCACCAGGGGAGGCAGCCATAACCTCTGCCGCACTGAAGGGGGCGCACGTGAGCCCACAGGTCCTTGTTGCTACTGTTATTCTACGCAGAGACGGTAGACCAGACGCGAACAACAAACTAGACTTTTGAAACTAGAGGAAGATAAGGAGGACTTTTCCAAAAAATAATAGAGATTGTTGTCCAGAAGGATAGCATGGACTTCATCTTCAAGTCAAGGTAAGACCACATTGGTAATGAAAATTGGTTCTTACTAAGAAAGAACAATCCAATATTTTGATTGTGGGTATCCTTTTGTTGAACGGTCTGTTTAAAATGAATCGAAACATCAGACCAAAAAAGCTTTTGAAAATAACAGAATATCTCGATTAAGGTCAGAATATAATATTTGTAAATCTGACTCTGAAAGAGTCAGTGCCTCACCAGCCATGAACCTCACCACACGTCACTGCCAGAAGGATAGCATGGACTTCATCTTCAAGTCAAGGTAAGACCACAATTGTAATGCAAATGGATTCTTACGAAGAAAGAACAATCCAATATTTAAATTGTGGATAGGCCTATCCTTTTGTTGAACGGTCTGTTTAAAATGAATTGAAGCATCAGACTAAAAAAGCTTTTGAAAATAACCGAATATTTCGATTAAGGTCAAAATATAATATTTGTAAATCTGACTCTGAAAGAGTCAGTGCCTCACCAGCCATGAACCTCACCGCACGTCACTGCTTTGTAGGATATAGCCAGGCATTCAACCCCAGGCAGTATCTGTAGTATTCCAAGTGTATGTAAGTATATAAGGATATACTAACTATGGATGGCATTAATTTGGCCTCCAGTGAGACTGTAAGGAATCTTGGTGTTATATTTGATCAGGATTTATCCTTTAACGCCCACATAAAATCAATTTCAAGGACCGCCTACTTCCATCTACGTAACATTGCAAAAATCAGGCATATCTTGCCTCAAAACGATGCAGAGAAACTAGTCCATGCATTTGTTACTTCAAGGCTGGATTATTGTAACTCTTTATTATCAGGGTGTACCAAGAAGTCAGTCAAGTCGCTTCAGCTGATTCAAAATGCTGCAGCTCGTGTACTAACCAGAGTTAGGAAAAGGGACCACATTACTCCTGTTCTGGCTGCCTTACACTGGCTCCCTATAGAACACAGGATAGAATTTAAAATTCTTCTTCTCGCCTACAAAGCCCTTAATGGGCAGGCGCCGTCTTACCTCAAAGAACTCATTATACCCTACTGTCCTACTAGGGCATTGCGTTCCAAGAATGCAGGGTTGTTGGTTGTTCCTAGAGTCTCTAAAAGTACAAAGGGAGCCAGAGCCTTTTCTTATCAAGCTCCACATTTGCGGAATCAGCTTCCAGTTTGTGTTCGGGCGGCAGACACCCTATCCGTTTTTAAGAGTGCGCTTAAGACCTTCCTTTTTGATAAAGCTTATAGTTAGGGCTGATTAGATTCAGCCCCTAGTTTTGCTGATATAGGCTTAGTTTGTCGGGGGACATCTTACTTCTTCCTTCTCTCTGTCTATACCTGTGTACTCTCATGTTCCGATTAACCCAGCTTCCCCAAATGTCTTTATTTTTGGTGTCTATATACGCCGGGATCCGGAGTCATGGATGATCCTGCGCTCCTCTGTCCTGGATCGCGAGCCCTGGATCTTGAGTCGTGGCTGTGGTCCTGGATCATAGGTCCTGGATGGATATCCTCGTGGATTCATTTTCCTATTATACACACATGCATTTCCAAACATTTGGACTACCTATGTTGCAAATGTATTATCTTTTCAATTTACACACGGCATCTATTGCACGTCTGTCCGTCCTGGGAGAGGGATCCCTCCTCTGTTGCTCTCCCTGAGGTTTCTCCCATTTTTCCCTTTAAACTGTGGGGTTTTTTTTGGAAGTTTTTCCTTGTACGATGTGAGGGTCTAAGGACAGAGGGTGTCATATTGTCATACTGATATTTTGTACAAACTGTAAAGTCCACTGAGACAAATGTAACATTTGTGATATTGGGCTATATAAATAAACATTGATTGATTGATTGATTGATTGATGTAAGTCCCTTTTGTGCATCCTTCTTCTACTAAATGATGCAATATAGAAATGTTGCAATGTAAAAGTCAGGTGAAATATATGTTGATGACATGACAAAATAAATTCAAGGCGAACAGTCATCCACAGGTTAACTACTTCACTCACAGGCCACAACATGAAGCTATCCATCAGGTTAAGATCCAAGTCCTCAGGCTGTTTTGATTGTCAATTACTCATTATTTCCAAATGGCAAAAAGCCCGGAATCAGAAACAGGTTTATTGCCAGGTAGGTTCGCACATAATAGGATGATGTGAAGACATTCACCATTTATCAAAGAGCTTTTCACTTTAGCCACTCCCTTTATCAGAAACCATATTCCAAGAAAACAAACATAATGGTGTCAGATTGGGCAACAGCATAAATGACTGTTACACATGTCACAGCTGTCTCCTGCTGTTGAACTCTTGCCAACAACTTAATCTGTGATCTTAAATCTCCAGGCACTGATTCATCAGCACTCAAACCTTCTGAAAGGTTCAGCTGTGGCTCATCTTGCCTCCAAGGGCAATACTTTGAAAAGCTGAAGGAAGAAGTATCCTCTTTGTTAATACAACTACAGAAAAAGGTGATTTAACAATGTTAATGTGCTGTGATAAACAAGAATACAAATGCTATTTAGCTCTAAGCAAGTGAGAATATTATAGAGCATAACAAAATCAAACATTTAAAAGTAAAGTTAAAGCAGAAGGAGTGCCTGTTTTCTTTCACACTGTGAAGAGATCATAAGTCTGATGCAATAGCACCCTCTACTGGCATGATGGTCTTATTTAATGCACAACAACAACCAGTGATTTTTTATTGTCATGTTATTGTAAAATAATCTGTCCTGCAGATTCCTCATGTTTGCCGAAGTGAGTTTTTTCCCATAGTGTAAAGTGTTTGCTGTTGCTATACATTTACATGCAGGCAACCCCACATGGCCCTAAAAAGTAGCACAGGTTGCATGTTACTTCCTCCTCACAGAGTTTCACTCAGGAAACAGGCCTCAAATTGAACATGATCCAGTTTGTTTCGGTAAAATATAACTTATTACGACACATGAGTCCATGAATGCATCATAAAAATATCAATAATCAGCACATTTTAGCAGAATGGTTGCCACATTCAAGATGGTTGCCCTTTTTACGGATCTATTAGAAGCAACATATTGAACCCTGTGGTGTGACCCATTTAAATAAGGTGGTTTGTGTTCCAAACAGCAGATTTATGGGTGCGGCATAATCTAGCAGAGTTGCACTGAAATTGCTTTGTCTTCTTCTTGCCTACATTGTTGACTTTGAGTAAATGTTTAACTTCCCATAATTATCAGACAGCACTGCAGTCTACAGTTGAGCATTAATGCCTGCTATATTACAATGAACAGTGTGTGAACGCAAGCACTGTCATAGTGTTTTAATAACGTGTGTTTAACATGCAAACCTCTGTATATTTGGCTACATGATACACATTTAGGCTGCTTTTAATGCTTTTGGGGTTGGTAGTGTCTCATGTCTCATTAATGCAGTACTATATTAACTTGAAAACAAATTGTGACAGAAACATATATAAACCTGATCAAAGCCAGCTCACTTCTAATGTCCTGCACTGGTGGAGCCTGCTTTTGTTTCAATATCAACTAAAACAGGGAAGGGCATGTTTACATCTTGCTCTGTGAAGCAATTGTATGACAGGTGCTGTGCAAATAAAGTTGAGTTGACTTCCTGTTGCAGCAGTGATTGCCACCCGCCCCCTTGCCCACAGGCAGGCTCCCTTGGATTGAACCTCCCACCACTAAACCAGGAATTACTCCGCCTTAGAAAAACGTAAAGAAACTGTAACAGGTGTCTTTATAGTTTCTTCAGATGTCTACCATTGGCGGTCTACAAACTGTTGAACACTCCGGAATGCTCAAGCTGTATTCTGCCTTGTTTTACGCCAGCTGCTCGTTCCTCATCACGGTGGTGAATAAAACCGTGCTGACGAGTTTCAGGTAGGCTATGTGGCGCTGTGTCATGCGGTCAACTCATTTAGGTGGAACAAGTGTTAAAAGCTTTATGCTAAGACTATGATTAAAAGTGGTAATACAAACAGTGTAGTAAGCGTTCTCTATACAAGTAAAAGTCCTGCATTAAAACGTTTCTAAACTAAAACAAACGTTAGGGGCCAAAAGCATAGCTTCCCTTTATGAAATACAATGTATATTCAATTACTGTATCAATATGTACGCATTAACTTTAATAATGGAGCTGGTTAACCATTACATAAACTGCTGGGTAGCTTGTGAAAAGTGTTATTTTTAATCTATAATTTGAATATGAATAGCCTTTTCAAAGTAGCCGACGAATAAGTAATAATAAAATGGATATACTGAAGTGAAGTGTACTTCTTGAGTGCATGTACGTAGCCTACTTTTCATCTTCATTCATAGCAATAACAATGTAGAAAGCTCACACACAAAGGAAGCTTATAACTAAATGATTCACAATGCAATACGTGATTCACATTGCAATACCACACAGTCAGCTATTGTTTTTGTGTTGGATTTGCAGGTTTCCGTCCTACTTGTTTCTGGGAATTGGCCAGGTAAGTTGTCCAGGTGTGGATGTTTCTGAGTGTTTATACAAATGTGAATCATGTACACACACACACTGTTACGTTCCCTCTTGGCTAGGGATACAAAAGGGAAACGACACGACCAGATTGGATTTGGTATATGTTACAGGTGGTTTATTTGTAACGGCAACTAAGTAAAATGATGTAGGCTACACAAACAGCTTGGCCCAACAACGGGTCAAGCTGTCACTATCTCACACAAAAGGGTCTCCAAAAGAGAGTTGCCCAATACTATACAAAAGGAAAGGAAATACCTCACTTCTAAAGTGGAAACAAAACAATAAACAAAACGGGGCTGTGGGAAAACACAGCTGGTGCGGGTCCACAGGTGCTAATCACCTGGATCTACGCAATATACACACAGGAATGCTGGTCTACAGGTGCTAATCAACCTGGATCTAAGCAATATCCACACACAAACCCTATACTAACACAGAACCCGACGACACACTGCTAATCAGTGTGCTCGCCCAGAAACCCTACTGAATACACTGCTAATCAGTGTAGCTAACACAGAATACACACGGCTAAACAGTCTCAGAAGTCACAGAACGAAGGCAGTTTCACAAGGAGAGGGTTGATGCGTCTGTCACACAATACAGAGCCTCCCGAATGGTATCCGTGCCCAGCCTTTATACTCCTCCCCGGATGACGTGGCAGAAGCGGGCAGGGCTTGGGTGACGTCTGTCCAATCCCCGCGGATGTTGCGAGGTCGAGACGGCCACTGACAGCATAGGAACTGCACAGCTCATTTGCACACACACACACACACACACACACACACACACACACACACACACACACACACACACACACACACACACACACACACACACACACACACACACACACACACACACACACACACACACACACACAGAGTTAAGGGCACAAGGTAGCAGCGGCTGTAACACACACACACACCCTGAAAAACCAATCAATTCCTGTATATTCTGCCCAAAAATATAAACATCTCTGAAAATGTATAACTTACCTTAAAAAACGATTCTATTAAAGCGTTGTCTTGCTTTCAACATAAATTGTCATAATAATGGGGTCCTTACCTTCAGTGGAGCTGATGGCTGGAGCGCACAGACAGACAATCGCAAACACAACTTTCAGATCCATGATGACAGAGCAACTGAGGGGGGAAATATGTCACTCACTTTAAAAACGTGTGCTGAACACACACACACACACACACACACACACACACACACACACACACACACACACACACACATCCTTCTTCATTGTCCCTTTTGTCCTTTCAGATGATTGTCACTCTTGTTGTCCTTTATGCTGCCAAAATGAGAAAGAAAGTCCAGTTTCAAGATTTTGACAGAAGTATTCTCTTTAAAGTAAGCATTTCTCATAAAAAAAATACTATTATAATTGATTTGATAACATTTGTTTTCAAAATATATTACTCCTTTAATTTCTTGTCAGATTTTCCCTCTTCCTTTGCTGAATGTTGGGAACCATATAACAGGACTGGCAAGCACCAAAAAACTCAGGTTAAACCATTTTGGATGTTATCTAGTAGTCCTTAATTTCATGCTGCTCATTCATGTGTTTCCTAAACGTGTTTTGTGCTTTTACAGTTTACCCATGTTTACAGTATTACGGAAGTTCACCATATTGATGACGATGATCTTGGAAGTATATTTACTAAAGTAAGACATATCTCTGAACTGTGTAGAACATTATGTATTATGAGCCCACTTACATGAAGAGGTTCATATATCAGAAGTATTATATAAGACAGGAGCTTCTGGCTTTGATCTGAATGTTTGAATGTTCCCTTTTTTCCAGAAAATCATTCCCAAGACGCCTTGTATACAGCGTTGTGGCCATAGTCTTCGGTGCCATGGTTGCTGCAAGGTATAGATTTGTTAAATCTGAATTCATTGATTTAGAATTGTTAATAGATCCTTTAACCCAGGGGTGTCAAACTCAATTTCATCGCGGGCCACATTAGCATTATGGTTGCACTCAAAGGGCCGGTTGTAACTTTAAGACTATATAAATATATAAAATAATGTATTGTATTACATTATTGCCTCTGCATTGGATTATTATCAGATAGGGTAATAACTTAATAATTAACTACGTCTGAATGCAGAAGTCTTGGGCAAATAATTACAAGTCTCTTCAGTGTGCATGTCACAAAATGAGATGCATTGTGGGACATGTTGTTTATTGGCAATGTGTTTCTGTAAAACGGCATGTAACCATATAATAAATATAATATTCTTTGCAAGCTCTTGCGGGGCCACATAAAATGAAGTCGCGGGCCGGATTTGGCCCCCAGGCCTTGAGTTTGACACCCCTGCTTTAAGCCCTAATACCTATACTTTCCATACCTCTTTCCCTCTCCTCTAGTTCTGACCTAGCCTTCGAATTGGAGGGCTATACTTTCATCCTGCTCAACGATGCCTTCACTGCAGCCAGTGGTGTGTACACCAAGAAGAAACTTGGCGCCGAGGTAAGCTGCACGTTCTGTGTGTAGGTCTTTACACAGACGGAAAGACACACTTGGGTTCTTTTAAACCCTGAGGATATTGTCCTTGTACTATACAACTTCAACTGGTTTTACTTGAAGATGTCCACTTCTCTTCTTTCTTTGAGGCTTGTTGCTTCGTTCCTTCTTGTCAGAAGAAACACATCTTCAGTGAACAATGCTGACTCTGGTGCTAGAAGATTATTGGCTCTTATGGCTTCTGCTAGCATATTGTCCAGATCAACCTTAACCTTAACTCAAACTCTTGTGGTGTTCAACTCCTTCACCTCTTGTAGATGTTCAAATTGTGCCAGCCGTTGTTTATCTTTAGTCTCTAGACTTTTAAATTCTGCCTCTTCCTTTTCTTTTTTGGATGTGGCCTCATTTATTTGGAGTGGAAACTAGAGCAGGTACCATGTTTTGATCGCTGAGAGAACAATTCAGAAACCTGTTGACTCAACTCATAAAACGAAGCTATTAGCTGCTTTTTTGTCTTTCAAATAATAAATGCCAAAAACAACTTGCATCTTTCATTCATGCTGTATTTAACTGGTAGTTTCACAAAAGCTTAATGTCTGTATAGGTGTAGTAAACAGTTTTTGTATGTTAAATTATACAGTATTAGGAAATGTTGCTCACAGCTGTCCTGCCAAAGAACGAAGACGAATCTGACTTATTTATTTTACAGTTGTCTCAGTCGTTAATTCTTTATAAATAATTGTTTGCTTTCATTTGTACTATATGTCTAAGACTTTTGTAGAAATATAAATGGTATTGAATCAGATCATTAAAGAAGAATATGCACATTAGATTTAGAAAAAAGGTGAAAGCTTTGACTTTGATCATCTGCCCTCCTAACCACATATTTAAAAACGTATCTTTTTTTGCCTATCACGATTTAAGATATTGACAGCCTATAGATGTATAATATGAAAAGTTTTTTTCCAATTCCAAGTAAATACATTTACGTTACAATGACTTTTTGTGTCACAAGTATCTCCACAAATGATCGTTGTGTATTTGATTTTGGTCACATTATATCTAAGGTTTTTGTCTTTCTTTTGAAGGGCCTCGGGAAGCATGGCGTTTTATTCTACAATGCACTTTTCATCATCATCCCCACTCTTTTGGCAAGTGCGTTTACCGGAGATTTACACAAGGTACATACAGTAACTGTGAATTTGTGTATTCTTACTAAATGTTTGCGCTCAAAACTATATGATTTTTTCTCTGTCTGACCACCCTGTATGATTTTCTCCACAGGCAGTCACATTTAAGGACTGGGGCGACGCCACTTTTGTTTTTTGTTTCCTCTTGTCTTGCTCCATGGGGTATGTCACTGAAATGTACTTCAAACTGCTATATTACTGTGACTCTACTGTCAACTGTACAAAATAGTGATATTTTTAAAATCTAAAGATCTTCCATTACTCCCTCATGCCACCTGGTTTTATTCAACTGTTTTGTTTCCTCAGGTTTGTGCTGATGTATTCCATAGTCCTGTGCAGCTATTATAACTCTGCACTTACTACAACAGTAGTGGGGGCAATAAAGGTAAGACCACACTGATTTTTAGACTAGAAATCAGACAAATCTCCAACAAGGTTTCCTAATCCTCGAAACTCATTATTTTAATCATAGAAAATGCTTAAAGTTCCAAACTACGTGGTTCTCGAATCTACATCATACTACACATAGTGTTAATCAATCATAAAACAGTGACCATGTTCAAAATCTTGCAATTTTAAGAATTTAAGATCTAAATATGCACCTAAAACTAGTTCCTTACTGTTCAGCTGATGGCAATGACCTATCTTCCCACTCAAGAAAACACCCTCCTTGGTGGAGTCAACTATGTTTGTGTTTCACATTTCCATCTTGTCTATTTCATTTTCATTTTAAACCTTTATTTAACGAGATTGGTCCCATTGAGATCATAGATCTATTTTTCAAGGGAGACCTGCAGCATATAGGTTCCACATGAAACATAAAACAATAAAGGACATCATACATTATATTTACAGGATACATTTACATAGTTATATAGACCTTTACAAGTGCCCATACATAGTATCAACGAGCATTTCATCTATATTCTATATTCAAACGAGGTCCTCACTAACTGGAATTACTGTTGTAACTTTCTTAAGAACGTTGCTGTTGCCTATATTGGCATCTTTGTGGGTGGAGACTACCTGTTCTCTTGGACCAACTTCCTTGGCCTCAGCATTTGGTAAGAGTTTAAGATTTGATTCTGGCAATCAAATTTGACAATATTGACCGTAATGTATTTTCAGGATTGTTATAGGTCTTTAATCACAATGGATCTTAATCTGGGGCTCAGGACTCCTTTTAAATAATAAGTATCAGTGTTCAATAGATGATGCTCTACAAAGTTAGGGTTATATTTTCATACTTTTGTCTCCTCAAATGTTCTTGCTAAGTCTTGCAATTATCTCCACCAGATCTCCATAATGTATTAAAACAAAACGCATCACTACTGTAGTTAGTGTTATTTTGGCGTTTTTATAATTACAATTTGTGATCAACATATTGTGTTGAATGTCATTATAAACTTTACCTGACTACAACTGAAAGTTCTCAGAAGACTTTGATGGGACCAGATGACCAAACATCCGTTTTTTCCCTGGTTTAACAATTAATTTGTTTTAATTTTTTGTTTTGCAGTATGTCAGGTGGACTAGTGTACTCGTATTTAATCTTTAATCAGAAAACACCTGTAAGTTATGAAGGAGCACAAGAGCTGAAGATTCACATCACAGAAGATTCAACCCAGAAAGAAGCTATAATCTAAAAGGGACAGTATGTTACCATTCGCCACCTGGTGGCATTGCTGTACTCCATATTGGAGCATCATATTTCATTTGTCATTTTTTATTAAAATGTATTAATTTACTTCATTTTTACATTGAGAAGGCTCTCATTTTAATTTTCATACCAAATCATGACAGAATAAATTGAGGTCCACATCCAATCTGGGTCAGGTTTGGGGAACGTTTATTTAAAACCAACAATTATATAACAGTGTGGACAGCCTGTCAGAGAAATATTACCTTAAAATGTGTAATAAAATGTCTACCAAGCAAGCAGGATCACTCTATACATGCTAAAAACATGGAAACTGTTGGAGCATGTTAGGGGAGAAAAAAAACGTAAACTAAAAATCGACTTCAAAGCTCTTCGTAAATTGTTCACACTCAACATTCTAACAAAAAAAGGTGTATATATTAAATGCCATAATCTTCTCAAACCACAAAATAGACTAAGGGTTAGAAATGCTTCAAAAATAAACTATAATGGGGTACAAATAAATCATTTGGGGTTTTGATTATCAACAAATCACTTGCCTTCCAGTTTTAGCGAAACTCCACAAAGGTCATTTGTAAACCAAACAGAATCAAACATCACAGCTAGAGTGACAGCTTGCTGACAGGGCAGTTATGAGAGGTTCATACAGTGTCGAAGGATGTAGTGTTGCTCAAAAAAGAAAGAAAATGATAACACCAAGCACTATAAAAATCAGTTTATCAAAAACAAATGCCATCTTTTTGGACTCGTACGACAAGTCTAATTTTCTGTGCATTGCAAGCTTAATCCAACACTTAAGTAGGGGTGTAAGAGCTACGTAAAAATGAATGAGGTGACAAAATTGACAAACCTAAATGTATTTGAAAGGTTTTAGATTTTTGCTGGTGCCAGAATATTTCCCTTTACATGTCAAAAGATTTCAGGGCTATCAAAGTTCAAGAAATTGTTAGCCAGTAAAAAAAGAATATGGCGAAATAAATAGATCATAACTTAATCTTTTGAAATTAAATGACAGATGCAACACTATGTTTCTATGCCCGTATAATATCTGGTCTGTCCCCCTTTAATATAAAAGGTGACATAGTGAAATATCTCCCATCTTTAGGTCTGCTGATTTTACTTTTAAAGGTAAACATCTGTTTCAATGGAAATATGGCATTAGAGGTATTCTCGACCTCCAATGATTGACGATTGCTTGACTGAATATGTAAGACCAGTATAAAAAAAAGAAAAAAGGCACCAGGTGAACTTCCTGTGTGCCTCCGGTATTGTAAATTGAAAACAAATGTGTGTAAATCATGATAAAGTGGTAAAGCTGTCAAAGTATGGATTATTTTGAAGACCTCTGGATTAGGCTTGCAATGATCCCATTTTATTCGAATATAAAAATGAGCCAATGCCAGACTGACCCCCCCCCCCCCCTTTAGTCCACATTCGCTCACTTCTAAGAGCATGCTGTCAAGGTGATGCTTAAACTGAACCACTCAGTCCATTTCTACCACCACTGCTGTAATCAGTGGAAGTGAAAGTGTGCTTACAATGCTAGAGATGAAACCTGGGAGCATGATGAGAGGCCATCCATACGTCCTATGTATGACCACACCCTGTATCATTCTGTCCATCTGAGCTTAATCCATATATACATCAATCATACACACTCGGTTACACTCACAAACACTCAAAGAACTCGTTACCATCAAAGTGCAAACAAAACATAATAGGTACTCTTCCTTTGCCTTTAGAAGACAGGAGAAAGAAAACATTCTTCATATAGTCAAATCTACAATTATAGCAGCCTAAAAGGATAAAATGGAAGCTGAATAAGGTGCTTTAGCTTGTGCCTTCCTGGTGCTGTGACAATAGATGATGATGTGCATAACACTGATCTCAGGCCAGTCCAGCTTGTTCTCAAAATCAGATTTTACAACTTGCAAGAATAAACTAAACTAGTCATTGATCTGCATTCATGAACACTTCTAGCTACAGTACATACAGCAGGAAGGCGGGTTGGGGATTGAGACATGAGGGAATGGGAATGTCAGGCATCGGGAAGTGGGAAGGGGTTCAGGCAGACAGGTTGTTGGCCAGATCGATAAGTGCCAGAGCACCATGAAGACGCTCTCGCTGCTCCTGGAGGCGGCGCTTGGTGGCTCCTCCCTGGCTCCCCTTCTCCTCCTCTGCTGGTTCTTCATCTTCCTCGTTCTCTTCATCGGACAGGAGGTACTCCATGGGGTCCTGCTGCTCCTGGTCCTCTGCTCTGGACTTGCCCTGTGTCTTCCCCTTGGTGGTTGTGGGGACACGCTGCTCACGGGTTTGCCAGTACCTACAGCAACAGAAAAGACTATATTAACATACAAAGTACACAGGAAATCCGATTAAAAGCACAATAGAAGTTCTTCTATGCACACTTTTTTTAAACAGTGGCTCCACTTACTTTGCTAGCCACTCAGCCACAGCCTTGTTATCCACAGACTGAGCCTTGTCCTGGTCCTCCTTTGGTTCCTCTCGCTTCAGACGGGAGTAAGGGTGCTTGGGACAGTGACGGTTGGCATGTGTGAACCGATTGCCACATCCTGAAAAAGAGAAGCAGGTAGTGCAGTAGCCGTTAGAGGCCATGTTTCTCTGTGATTTTAGAATAGTTAAGATGCACAATGTATGACCTATGTGGTTTCTAAAGAATGTCACAGTTTTGATATGCATTTTTTTCTAGTCAAAAGAATAACAATAATGAGGTACTTTCCACTGCTTTAAATATAAGAGAACCAGTTAAAAGCTGCAGTCAGACAAACGTACTGAGCATGCTACTGGGATGAATCCAAAAGTGAAAGGTCCTAAAAGTTCGACTTGTTGTTCTAAAAGCAGAACTGCACTTTAATGGGTATTTAGTGGGTATTGTCCACAGTAGATGACCATTACATGTATGATCTGTATGTGTAATGTGTATTTGTAAAGCACTTTGAGAGTCTTTGATAAAGCGCTATAATAAAATATAAGGATTATTATTATTATTATTATTATTATTAATAATGACAGGTCTTTTATAAAAATCCACAAACCCACCTTTCTCCGAACAGACAAAGGGTTTTTCCCCAGTGTGCAGCCGCTGGTGGGTCTTCAGCTGACCACTCTGCACAAACGCCTTCGTACAGTTTGGGTAGTCACACAGGTAGGGCCTCTCTCCTGAGGGGGGAAATAGATGTATTGTTAAGACAACAGCATATAAAGTTACAGTAAAATTATTACACAGTGCTACTTATATGATACACACATACAGCCCCTACTTTAAAATGAGAACACTAAAGCCAGAAAGTTGAGATTAGGTGCTAGGAGGTCAATTGTTTTCGGCTTTAACAAGATGTCTTCTTGACCATTAGCCATGTAATTATATACAACGCTAATGTCCAGTGCCCCTATCCTTCTGTCTCTCTCACCTGTGTGTGTCCTCTTGTGAGCCTGCAGAGACTTTTCTCTGGGAAACACGCGGTTGCAGATGTTACAGCGAATGCGACTGGCAGAAGTCTCCCCCTCGTTGATGAGCTCTCGGACAGTGTCAGCCCGGGGACGCCCTCTGCGGATGCCATCCTGACAGAAATAATAAAATAATTGTTATGTTAGCTCTACCACCACCTTACGTTCTTATTTTTATAATATCCATCAGCCTTAGGAAAATGCAGGACATCATTTGTACATACATTAATTTATGATTTTAAACATTGAAAACAAATATAATTACAATTCTGAAATATATTAAAACTGGCATATCATCTCAGTCATTATTTTATTATATATGCATCTGTATTAATTCATTTGATTATTATAAATAGATATTAAGAACACTGCAGATTTACACTACATCATACAATGCAACATCATGTGATTTTTTTTAGCTGTGCTCACGTGTTACATTGTAACAGGATGCACGTTTGGCCATTATAATCCATTCATATCCGGTTACATTTTGGCGCGCGACTAGACGTCATGTATGAGCAGCTGCTCCATAATCAGGAAGTAACTGGGGTTTAAAATCCACCATGTCACACCCTATTGCGCGGGCGATTTTTTAAATGACTCTCAACGCCGGCCATGTTAAGACTAACTCTAAACACAGTTTCCCCTACTTTAAAGTATACATTAAGTTATTTACCTCTAAAGAGTATACACCTCGCCTAGTAGCTCAGTTTCGAATAGTTAATGTCTTAAAAAGATGTCAACATCATGTTGCATGTAGGCTGCTCTCTTTTTCATAAAGTTGCTGTTGTTACAAACAGTGAAACAGTGCTGTTGTAACCATGCATTGCATTACAGTGTCGTCATCATGTATTCCAAAAGAGCAATAACTAAATTAAAGGCATTCATATAGGTTTCGATTTTGTAACTTCATGTGCCATACTACACGTTGTGCTGAACGGTGAAATAAGTGAAACTTACCCTGATCTGCTCAGGTGTTGGCTCCGTGTCCGCTTCTCTGGCAGTCTGGGCTCCGGTGGGTGAGGAAGCACCGCTCACTGAGCCCGGGCTCAGAGACACATTGTGGGCGTTCTCCCCCCATTTCCACGGGTAGACCATGAAGTCGCTGAATCCGGGACTTGTCGGAGTCAGGGCCTCAGCTCTCCTGGGTTTGATCGGCGTGGTCTTAATAACAGACACCAAAACTCTTTTAGGCGAGTCGTTGCAGAAAATAACGTGCGGGTGCTTGTTATCGGCCATCATGTGGCTGTCGAAACTCCGTTAAAAGCAAGAAAACTGCAGAAGCTGGACCTCTTCCTTAGTGATTAGCTTAAAGAATGACTGAATGAATGAAAGTCATAAATATGTCGCTTTTTCAATCCGGAGTGAATATGTCCTTCATTTCCAAAGTCGTAAATAAAGCTCTTGGATCCGTTGTTCGCTGCAAAGTATCCGCAGAATATACAGTTGCATGTAAAGATGGCTAGTTTACTTCTCGCCGCAGCGGGTCGTCCGAACTGACCTGTGCGCCCACAGGAGCGTTGTCCCCTTGTCCCGCGTTGCAAAATCGCGCCTGAGCAGTGGACTGACCAATCAGCTGCATGGATCAGACCCCACATGTCAGGAGTAACCAATGGCAGCACCCTTTTGGATCCACCTTAGAAGCCCGTGGGCCAATAGGAGAAAGAGATATCGCACTTCCTGCAAAGATTGGTCGCAACGTTTTTATCCAATGATATTTAAACACTTGACGCGCGCTTTTGCACGCTGAAACGAGCATTGGCCAATCAAGTCGAGCAGAACCCACGTTTGGCCTCGACGGAGCCAATGAGAGTGAAGGGCGGCTAATTCTACATCGCAGAGGAGCAGATGGCTCTTTCCCGCGCTGAGGAGTCTGTTTATGTTATTACATTTTTGGTCAATTTAAAGGGAAAGGATCTGTGCCTCAGAGGCGCCAAAGTTACGTAATCAGGGCGGAAATACTTGAACAAAGGGTGTACTGTGTAAGAGAAAAAGAAATAGAAACTTAGTGTGATTGAAAGAAAAAAGGTGTAAGTGTTACATTTAGGAAAAATAATATAATAATATAATATAATAATTTAGCCACAAATTGTCTCTGTTTACCCACACTCAATCTTATGTTTCCAACATTTCACAAGATGAAAATATAGTCTATCTTCACACAACACGTGCTGGACATAAGAACACCAAGACTTTAATTTAAGATACCATCACTTTTTGATTAACTGCATACAATGACTTTCATTTTATTGTAGAAGTAACAGTAACACCAATGACTAAGTGCCAATATAAAAGGCTATTTAACAAATATAAAGTGTAAAGTAATAGTGTCTTGAGATGTTACCACTAATAAAGCCAGTTTGTTTGAATTTATTTGCCTCTTTACTGTTGGGCAGTCTGTCTGTCTTTGACTCATTCAAAGTCATCCTAAAAATCCAAATATAACCCTACTGCAATGTACAATGTGTATTTAAAAATCATGCAGTGTAATTGAAACTGCCCATATAACTGCATTTAGAAGCCTGTATGCTAAACTAGTGATTCATGACATGTACAATATCAATACTGTAACAGGGAAGTAAATATGATTTGGTTCCCAAACCCCATGTACCTCGAGACTGTAGGTTGAACACCATTGACTTGCACTTTCTCATTTGACCACTAGATGGGGTTAAACAGACCTATTGCGGGTGACAAAGCTAATTCAGGGTTAAGGTTTGTTTATCTTATTTCATCATACATCTTATCCAACTATAGTTACAAATATAATACTATAATGTTGGGGGGATAATTGATTACATTTACAAATGAAAACGACCAAATTGTTTTCAGATTATTATTGTGATGCTTTGATGGGCCTGTTTGACCTGAGCAGGTTACTCTGGTACACTAGTCAGATTTTGGAGAGAAGTTGTTTGCTACAGCTGCTGTCACATAACTGTACAGGTAGTCTAACCAGAAAAGTCCTAGTCAATGAAAATGCTTCCATAAAAACAGAACTCAGGGAAAATAGCATGCAACTAAACGTGAAAGGTTTAAAACTTAGTATTTTACATTAAATGTTATGCATTTATTTTTCCATCGAAAACAAATATGGCAGCCATTCCATTCCAGTGTCAGTTGAATTCTAACCTATGATTCTAACACAGATAAATGTTGTCAGTAGTTTTTGCCAACACAGAGATATTTTGTCAGTAGTTTATAGAATAAAGTAAAACAACATTAATTTTACTTCAAACACATGTGTATGTATACCTATGCATTATGTACAACCAGAGAAACTGATAATGCTGTAGTGGTCTCTTGTTTTTTTTACAGAGCTTTATGTACAATTCCTTTGGACACTTCCTGTGCCATTTTGAACAGCAACACACACAGTCCAATCAGCATTAATGAGCACGGGGCGTGGTCGCTGATCTGCACACGTGCAAACATTTAAATGTGTAGACACTGCTGCTGGCATTAGCTGGATGTTCACTGACACAGCAAAGTACTGTCTGCGGCTCTGCACTGTACGAAAACGGTTGTTTTGCTGAGTGGTAATTGCAAGATATGTGTACATCTTGAGGAGGAGGGAATCAGCTTTTCTCGTCATACACAGGCTAAAATGCTCCCGGACGCATTTGGGTGCGCTGTGGCGAACAGGTATGGGGATCTTCTGGATGACGATGCTGACCCCTTCGACATAATAACTAAAGCAGAAATCGAGAAGGCGAAAAAGAAAAAGAAGGACAACGAGGAGAAGAAAGCCAAGCCGAAAAAACCTGGGCAGAAGGAATCCCAGAAGGACAGACGCGTCCCTGTTGCTCCGGAGGGCCCCGACCCGGCTCCAGGTTAGCTAGACTCCTGTCTGCATTATCACCAAACAGGCCCAAATCCTAAGAGAGCTGCTAGTATTTCTACCTCGGAGAGTCCAGCCTAGACTGGGCGGTTTGATTGGCTTTGTCAGCTACTGATGTTGCTATGACAGTGGGGGTTGAACACATGTTCATGCTGTCAGGCTGGGTTTCAACTTGGTATCTAAAGTTGGTATCTTTGTTTTTTTTAGTTGTGTAGCACATTTTAAACTGTATACATATGCATACTTTATATGTGGTATGTTAGTCAGTCAACAACTGATTTCGTTGCAAACAACTTGTTTGGTTAAGTGCAATTATTCCCTTCAACTGAACTCTCTTGGTATTGTTTGTTTCCCTTTTTGCATGATATCAGACCCTCCTTTCCTTTTTGTAGAAAGGCAGTTTGAGTGAGTTTAAGCAGTATACATGTATTTAAATCTGGGCTAAGAACTTACTGGAAGATTAAAACACACACACTGCGGTGTTAAGACTGTAATATGTGTTTTGTTTTTGATTAGTGGTTTAAACAAGGCAATTTACTCCATTTGCCTGATCAACTCTTTGGTTATTGAGGTTCTTCATAGACTTTTCAACAAAAGAAAGTGATAAGGTAACACAATTGAACAGCACATATCTCACTTTCTCTTCCTCAGTCCGTAAGCAGCCGCCACAGCAGCAGCCCCCACAGCAAGGACGTCCTGGACCAGTAATTGAGAGTGGGTATGGTCGAGGGGAGTCCCAGAGGAACACAAAGAGGCCTGCTTTTGGGGAGCGCAGGGCCAACCAAGACGAGTACCCACAGGACTTTTCCATCCCTAAGTATGTATTCATGAAACAACTCTCCTCTCCATATTGCTTTATTTTCGCATCATCTGTTTTACAGGACCACTGCTGTTAAAAAAATGTACAAATGATGTCCCTCAAGTGCATGCATTAATCCGATGAAGGGACATAGCTCATCTGATTGTTCTCCTTGCTAAGTAAAGATTGAAAGAGGAAATGATGTGATTCTTCAACAAACTAAATGAGTAATGACCCTTGTTTTATTCAAAACACTAACATCACTAAAGTCAAAGGAGTGACTTGTGTTTTTTGTTTCGAATGATCCCCAGGCCTTACTATAATACAGAGTCCGATCAAGGGGGCAGAGGGGGCTTCAGAGGTAGAAGAGAAGGGAGAGGAGGAGGGTTTGCGAGGATCTCCGAGAACTTCAACCCGAGGGGCAAGAGAGGTTATGATCGACACAGCGGAACGTAAGCCTCTTTGTTCATGCAGCAGTTGTACAGCTTATTGGTGGTGTTTTTGATCATTTTGTTTTAACCTGCTTTGCAGAGGTATCTCTCCTGAGGAAAAGCGAGGAGGCAGAGGACCCTGGAACTGGGGCAGTGCTGACGAAAATACAGGGTACATGTCATTAACATGAAACATATCAACAGTCTTGTGCACAATTTGGATATCTTTATGTTTGTCGTATCTCATTTTTGAAGTGAATTAATGGAGGTTACCCCTGATGCTTTGACCAAATCTGAGGATAAGATTCCTGCTGAGGATGATAATCAGTATCGGTGAGTAAAGCACACAAACACCTTTCTTATGAATGAAATCTGTGCCACATTACCTGGTTTAGTGTCTTATTTAACAGTCAATTGATACGGTTTACTCGGTTTATCATGCCTGTTGTGTTTTTGCATCGATAAATTAAAGGCAGTAATTGATGGTTAGACCAAATTAAAACATGTTTAGGGTTTAACTTGGCAGTTGGGTCATTTGCAATTAGAATCACACACATAATTCATCACATGTTTGACTTTTTCGCATGAAAGTTGCTTTTCTGCTTCACGAGTGCTATACATGTTAGATTTTACTCTCAATCAAATGTGTTAAAGTAAAGCCAGCTTAATGAAAAGTGTGTTTATGGAAAAAACTAAGTAATCTGCCATCTACTTATTTTGTGGATACATTGTTAGTTCTCAGGTTCAGCAACAAGGTGATCAAATAATAACAAATGCCAGTAAAATAAAATTCTGTTAATTTCTTTCAAGAGAAAGCTTGTATTTGGCAATGTTTATTTAAATGTAAAGGTGTCAAAATAAAGTAGATTGACAGATGTAGTTTGTTCCAAATTGTAGTGCGGAAGAGGATGGAGAGATGGTGGTCCATGTTGCCGTGGAGATGACCCTGGACGAGTGGAAGGCGCTGCAGGCGACAAGTCGTCCCAAGGCAGACTTTAATATCCGCAAAGCAGAGGACCAGATTCCCACCAAAGCCAAGGTCATCCACAAGTCAAAGAAGGTGGAGGTGAGTGTGACGCAAGGATCTGTGGAAGAAAACCCAAAGCCTGATCACACTGGAGCGGTGATCAGGACTGACTAGACTGATCAAACAACATTGTATGCTTCATCATCTAGCAGTAACCTTCCGTTGTAAAAATGAACACTCAAAAAGAAAACCTAGACCAAGCGTTCACACCATTTAGCGGGAGATGCTGTTGTGTTGTTAATGTCAATTTAAAGGTTTTGGACTTCATTTACCGTTTGTCTCCAACCTTTAGATCCTAAAGGAGGCGATCCTTGAAGAAGTGGATGATGACAGCCACTTCCTGCGTAGGTCCGTGAATGACATCACCTCCCTTCTGGACATCAATTTCGGGAGTCTTGGACGTCCCAGTCGTGGGGGTCGAGGAAGGGGAGCACGAGGTGGTCCGGCTACTCGCCCAGAGTGTGCTAAACCCGTGTTTGAGAGGGTATGTCCTCGACTCTTTATTTAGCTTAATTAGAATCTTAAGACACAAAATGCAGGATACCTCAGTGGAAGAGCACAGGCACACCTTTTTATAAAACATGCTTTTAGCAACTAAACGTTCTTTTAAAAAAAATACATTTAAGCTTTTTAATAACTAAACATTTCTATGTCTTGGATTATTCAGTACATTTTATGGGGGCTAATGGTAAGACCGTTTTTTATATGTAGATGCTCTATTTATTTATCTTTAGTGTTGGTTTATTTTTTTGACTTAACAACTGGAAATTATAAGTCAATATGCTGACATGTGGAGATCAAATATGTAAACATTAGCATGTCATTCGTGTGCGATTTGTTCTCCCACTAGGAGGAGGACCCGGCTCCTAACCCCGATGACCCAGAAGACTTCCCAGCACTGTGTGCAGGAAAATAACTGAGTTCACTTCTCCTGTGGGGAATAGTGGTTGCACTTAACAATGTTAAAAAAAGAACATTTAATGTCTCTACTGTTAAGGTTGGGGTTTTATTGTACTTGATTTATTTTTGTTCTGTTGCACTGTTTGGCATTTGCAGAATAAATGCTTTTGCAAGTTTATCTTGGAGCTGCTTTTTATTTTTGAATGCCACGCTGGGATTACTTGAAATGCGAGAGGTTTGGGTAAACCTGTGATGTATTTTGTAAAATCAGCTTAACAGAATAGTGTTACTGTGACTTGGCATTAAAAAAAAACAATGGTTTTAAAATTAAATTGAGAAACAACAATCAACATTGAAACTGTTTAATGCATCTTGTTATAAGCATTTGCTACAAAGACTAAAAGCCAGTACAGTTTCATTTGAAAAGTCTGATTCTATAGTATGTGCTTTAAGCTAATGTTCTCAGTGGATTATGAACATGAGTTGGACAAAGCCCCGTTAGGACCATACACTTATTTCATAGCATACACTTATTTCATAGCATGATTTAAACATAGTACAAAATATTTAAAAAATACAAACCGAGTATATCAAATGTTGACAGTCTTATTTACAGTCTTGAAATACAGTAGCTGAAAGCTTCACATGTATATGGAGAGTGGAGGTACAGATGAGCACAGTATTGTATCTTGTGATGGACTTTGTTGTTCTACCACCTGTATACTGCCTTCTCATAGGACCAAGAGCAGGTTTTTAGGCCGTACTCCTAAAATAATCTACATCTCATTTTTGAAGTAGAAAAGGTGCTGCACAGTGCTCATTTAGGATGACATCTTTTAGATTCACATGCTAGTTTGCTACAGCATGCTTCAATAAGTAGGAACAACCAGGCAATGATTATAAATCTGTATGTATTGATGCTTTGTAAAAAATATAAAAGAAAAGTGCCTTACGGGTAAAATAACTTGTAATAAAAGTCTATAAAATGATTTACATGTCACATCCAGTTGGTAAATGTTTGTTTCAAACTTAATTAAAATGCTAGTACAGCTGTGTAGAGGTTGGATTTCATGTGAAGTTCCTCAGTGTTTCCAGATCGGCTCACCGGAGCAGAGGAGCTCTAGCTTTGGATATGGAATGACTAAAGAAAACAAAGAAAGTCAGCGTTAATGGAAGGAAAAATATCATTGATTTACATTTCACTATTCAAACAACCGATTTAAATGTATTTAGTCCATGCATGTGTTTGCACAAAGATCAGAAATTGATATTACAATTAATAACAACCGAACGTGAAGAAAATATATATACCATAACCTGGAAAATCGAATTGATTGCAAAGAGCTGCGAGCTTTACATCCTCTGGAGACAGTGTGTCTGTTGTGTGTAAGAGATATGAAAGAGGGAAAAAGAAAGGATATAAACAGATTAGCACCAGTAATGAATACAGAGAGGAGGCAGAGTCCAGAGAAGCTATAGCCAGTCATAGAAGGAAAGCTGCTGCTCTCAGACAACGAAGGAACGCTGAAAAAGGCAGCAGGGAGACTCAGGCGTTGGAGTTTCATTTGGCAACCTGACAGCGGTGCATAAGCAGGCTCAGATTTACTAAACATTAGACCTTCACATAATGTTGGTACAACAGCTGAGTGAAGAAGAACCGTGGCTGGGCTGCACCGCCATGGTTTAATTTAAGATTAAAAAAAACAACGGTTTAACTGTAATTGAATTTGACATGTTGGATGAAAGATCTATGACTGGCAGGAACAGAGATTACACCAATTAAAAGTACAACAAAACTAAAACATTGAAGTTGGAAAATAGCAATAAAAACTCATCTCATGTGGAGATAATCAGTGGTTTGCTCCACTTTGTTATTTTAGGTTTTATGCTGGCTAAATAACTGACTCAAAAGTTTCCATGATTTAGCAGGAAACCCCCTAAATCAAATAAACTCAGCAATTTAAGTTAATCAGACCAGTTGTATCTAATGTCTATGTTTCTTTAAGGAACAGTCCTTTTTCATCCCAACTGTCAGAAAATCAAGATTCAATTTAGATCTAACTTCTGAATGAAAGTCATCGGTGGATTAACCACAATTTGTTCAAACCAATTCAATCCCTGTTTGTGCATCCCAGCCTAAGTGATTATTATCAAGAGGAGAAAGCAGAAGAGTGCAGAGACTGAATTTTAGCTGGATTTACACAAGCACCAGTGAAATTATCTGTAAAATCTGATCATCCTATGGTGGCTAAAACTTGGGAGAAATCATTTACATATGACTTTCCCTGTTTCAGACAGCAGAGAGGAAATGTCTTCATAGAAAAGTGAACATGTGTTTGTGGCCCAGGGTGGGTTTGAGGGAGCTTGCCTGCAGGTGGACCTGTGCCATGTTTAAGTTGATGAGAGGGCCTGTGTTGGCCATAGCACTGGCTGTGTCTCTATGGCTGCCACATGGCTCCCAACACATGGGGTCCCTGTCTCCAGACACTACATGCAAGTTTCCTAGAGACCTGACCAGCCTGGTGTGGCTCAGGGAGCTGGCAGAGAGAAGGAAGTGTTAATGTCCTCCATAAGGACCCACGAGTGGCTATAGCCTCTTGGCTGCTTAAAAAAAAAAAATCAACTTCACATAAAGCATCAAAAATATATTCAAGTATTACATATTGCATTAACACAACACTTCCCTGAGTAAGGAAATAAATGGCAAAGATGAAGTATTTAAAGTCCACATTGAGGGCTGAATAATTGATATGCAACTTGCTGATTCAAAAAACCAATTGTAACTCAAATCATCTCTTTCTAAGTTTAAAAGCTTCATCAGTTTTCCTTATCATCACATGACCAGTTCTAAACATGATGGTCTCATGACCACATATCTGCCATCTCAATGAAAACTGAGTATACTCCATTCATTCACAAAGACTGAGTGAGAAACGGCTGAGATTTACACGATAAATATAATAAGTGGAACTTAAGCCAGTTCTAGTTTTTTTTCACATCTTCACATTTAAATGTAGAGACACAAAAAGGCATCCAGTGTCCAATCTAGGTTTTATTTCACTTGCTAAATCCAAGATGTTTTATATGGTATATAAATGAAAATATATGGGGTGAATGTGCCACTGACCTTCCTCCGCTGGCGGGCAGTGAGGATCTGGTCCTCTTCCTGCTGTCTGATTGGTCAGACAGAGCCAATGGGTTGCCGCCCTGAACACTGGCCTGCAATATGACCCTGCTGCAGGAGACATGTGATTCATTAGTCTGAGCCACTGTATGTCAGAGTGTAGATATGCATGTTGTGTGTACACTGCAAAATCTACCTTAGGGACTGTGATGATGACCGGGTGTGAATCTTATTCTCTTCTTGTCTGTGAAAACACAAGTAACACAACAGTAAAACATGTGATTAAACTTATTCATTGAGAGATCTTAGAAAGATGACAGGAAAGAGTGGAGGCAGAGAAGTAAAATACTGTATGCAGATGAGCAAGGAGGTTTTAAAGATATTGATAGTGCCTAGTACTAGACTCCTGGTACTAGGATGGGTTAAATGCAGAGGCCAAATGTCACTGTGTATGCTGTGTGACCATTAAAGAGGGGTTTCATCCCTCCCAATTCTATTCTATTCTACGGCCTGTGCACAGATCATTACTGCAGCCTTAGCAGCCAGATATGATTATTAAAGCCAAGTCATACCAGGAGAAGCCAGCAGGTGACACTAAACAACTTAAAAGGAGACTTGATTTGCCTTTTCAGTTTTCATTTTCATCAAGAAAGCTTAACTGTCTGGCAGGATTACATTTGAACAGTTAGCACTCAAGTCAACACAATCACCAGCCAAGCATGATGTTTAAAATGACATGATGATGGACACAGTAAGACAAAATCATTATGTACAGAAAAAGGTCACAATGACAAGACAGTAGCCTCTGATGTTTTAGATTTTAAATAACTGGCTCTGCTCATTAGCTTTAAGTTTACTGTACTTGCAAAAGCAATAAAGAGGATCATTTTGAACAAATTTCTGATTTGGGTTGGGAGTTTAAAAAAAGAGACTGGGGCTCACTTACAGCATTCTCAGTTAGAGCTCCAGAAGGGGGGCAGGACAGGTTTTTGGGGGCTGACGGGCGGTAGAACTCATTGAAATCCTAACCCGTCTATACAGAAATGCAGGATGGAAGAAGGGAAGCCATACACAATCCACCACAGGGCAAGGCTACACAGGGAGGAGAGCAGCATGGCTACCAGCCATCTGAAAGGAGGACAAATCCAACAACAAGAGCAAACGGAAAAAAGGGGAAATAAAAGGAAGGAGAGACAAGAGACGTCCGGGCGGGACACAAAGCCTTTGATGTTCTGCTTTTCCACTGAGACTGGATTAGATGAACTACCTTTCAAAGAGCCTTGCATCCAACTAGCCAGTCAGCAAGTTCTTCTTCTTCACTTGCTCTGATGTGTAAGCACTTTGCTTTAAACTTTACACTCAACTCATGTGAGAATTTTGAAGTAGAGCTTTTAAAACAACCATACAATTATTTAAAAAAGCTTTTGAAAAATATACAATATGTAGTGGTTATTCTACAGTTGGAACTAACAGTATTTGTAAGATAACATTAAATATCCAGTAGTAACATTTGCTTATAATAAAATTACACTAAATAAACAACTTAAAATGAGTATAGTTTTGAAAAAATAAAACAAGTTGCCACCTACGAGTAAACTTATGGACAGACATTTCTATCAAATATACTAAGATGGCTTTGAGCACCAGGAAAAGCGCTATATAAATCAAATGTATTATTATTATCTGTGAGCAAATAGTGGCTGATACAAGCCTGCCAATATATAGATCGGGCTCTAATATTAAAATGAACTACCATTATTACATTTTGTTCCAGAGACGGAGCATTTTAATAGAAGCTAGCAGACACAGAAACCTGAAGGGGTACACAAAGCTCGGATGGTATGTGCACACTGATCCAGTCACAGAAGCAATGGAAAAACAACAGGCAATAGACGATGAACCCGGCCCAACATTAGTTACATGTTAGACACAAACACAGATCGAACAAAGAGGCATGTTCATGCGTGCATGTCCAAGGGTTTCATGCCTGTTGCCATGCATGAAGAGGCAGAAAAGAACGCTTTCAGATAATTGTCGTTCTTATCATCACTGGAATTGAACATGCACGTCAGTATTACTTAATAAAACAAACAGTGGAGCCAGATGGTGAAGTTCAGCTGGAAGTAAGAGGGATGTGTAGCAGCGCATAATCTGATAAGCCAAATTTCTTGTGCGAACAAATCTCTATTCTGCCTCAACTCCCTCCTGAGGATGTATATAAAGCCATTTTCTCCATCCCTCTACCTCCTGAGGAGCTAACCTGTGTATTTAAAATAGAATCATGTGTGATTTACCAATCCCAACAATGCCATTTAAATCCGCTTATTATTTCATAAAAACACCCCAAGCAAAGATCATTTTAACAACAAAGTACTCCTTGATGTTTCCTAAAAAACACCTACAGCTATATGATTGAGCAGGCAAGTTAGCTTCTTAACTAAACAAGTACAAACTGCAGATCAGAACCAGGATCAAGTTTCCCTCGCCAACATTTTCTCTTGAGACGTGCCAAGTCAGCAGTGCAAGCCAAGCACTAAACCATTAAATTCAACTAATCCAGATCCTTTGTTAAACCGTGATTAGTTGAATAATTGGTGCCATTGTTAACAAGTACAGCAGGCTCAATGAAAGAGCTTTACTGTAACTCTGGGATAAGCCTTGATATCAAAGCAGATCAGCTCAGTGTGTCCATGACAGGCACATAATGCAAGGCGTGTAAATGTAATGCATCCACTAAGTGCATATCCCCATCATAGTCATCCAACGAAAGACAGAAAATAAAAGAAACAAAAAAGAAACAACCTCAAAATCAGCCATACCATACACTGGCATAGCAACCATTTCTACAGGAAGAGGAAGGCAGCTAATAAGGAAGTGATGTAAACTTACCTCTGTCATACAAAACCTCACATCCTCTCTCTGTTTTTGCTCTCCCCCACTCTCTCTCTCTCTCTCTCTCTCTTTCTCTGCCACTCTCAGCTATCTTTTGAATGGCAGGCAACACATCGGCCACAGCGTGCCCATGAGGTTGCAGCAGAACACTACCACCTGCCTGACATGGGACAACAAAAGCCAAAGCCACATGGGTACATTGGCAGAGGCCAGTCAACCATCCTCAGCCATGTGACACCCAACCTTCCACGGCTGAATTACATAGGCACAAATGATGTGGAATTCATTTAGATAGAGAAGGAAAAAATCCAATATTAGATTTTCTATTCATATTTTTTTTTTTAAATAACTAGACAGCAACAAGCCATTGGCCTTTATAGCTTATTAAATGGTTGGAGTTTAATTCCATTTATTTAAATATTGCTTTTTTTTTTATCAAGGCCTGTTCCCTTCTGCAACATAATGGATGTCTATTTTTTATCCTAACAGACACATGTAATAAACCACTTTTCATTATTTTCTGTCAATGTATCTGTACAATACAGATTAAAGTACTACATTTTGGCATGGACGGCTATGACAATTGTACTATATAACAATTTTAATATTCTTGCACACTCTTTACCCCTGTTTTGTTTTTTATAAATAGCACTAATAATTAAATAATTGATTACATTAATGCACACAATGTACAACAATATCTTTTTTGTTGTTGTATTACTGCCGATTTTTATTCCATTCCATTGCAATGTAAATACTGTTATATTTTGTATTATTTTTCTAGTTCTCTACCTGTGTTTTTAATTCTTGTTTTACTTGTATGTATGCACCACGACACCAAGTCAAATTCCTCGTACGTGTAAGCCTACCTGGTAATAAACCTGATTCTGAATAAAAATCTGCCTCAAGACATTGTGACATGATGTTATGATAACCTGGAGCCCAAGCTCTATATTTATACGGGCTATATATTTAAATGTTCTCATCTCTGACATTCATTAATTATCAAATCCTGCAGTTAATCTAACTCATAGATCACATGCTTTAATTCCACATCTTTTGTGCCTTTCTAAATCCAGACCTCAATAGATTGTGTATCAGATAACTCCATCAACTCTATCACTCGCTCTGCCTCTTAATATTTGACCGGCTTCTTCCTTGCTTTAATGTTCATCCTCGTCATTAACAGATTATAGATACAAATGTGATGACTTACATTGATCTGCATGTCATGACAGTCAATCAAAAGAACAATAAGAGGACACAAAGACAGAGTTATTGAAAAATTACAGGAATGTGGCCTGGTTCCTCAATTTAAATATAAAATGCAATAACGGGATAAAACTGCCATAGTAGGAATAAAGGAGAGCAGACCTAACAGATTAGTCTGACAAAACTTTAAACGTGTAATGATCCAAGAGACTGCCAAGGAGTGGCATCGGTCATTTGACGGTACGACAGCACACAGGTGTGATACATGATGGGACCTGCAGGTTGCCTGCGTACTTACGATAGTGAACCTGAGGATGATCTGGCCTGCCTCTTGCTCTTCAGGGCTCGCAGTTTATCACCCTGCGTAAGGCCATTCCTCTCCTCATCATCATTATACTGTAAAACAAAGAACAATTTGTGGTTACAACATTTTTTCTGCTTACAGAAATACTTTCAGTTCATTCTGCAGTCTGTACCTGTGAGCATGGCAAAGGAGTGATTTGTAAACTCACCAGGTCCATTTCCTCTTTATTGGATGCCCTGTTCTTGTTGCTCCCGTTGATGGATATGTCATCCACACCAGACAGGATCCTGGTTACAGCCGTCTTGCCATTCTCACATTCGTTTTGCATCTTCTCCCGGAAAACATCTCCTTCAGCCCACAGACTGTTCTGCTTACTGATGAAAAAATAAAGTAAAAAAAGACAAAATTACCTTATTTCTCTTGCCAAACAAAAAACCAACACTATTATTAACTCAATTTCTTAGCAGATTCTGACTGATGAAGAAGGCATGGCTCAGTTTGGATGCTCCAATCACAATAACGTTAAGCAACATTTGAATTGAAACACACTGATTTAGACTGACAAACTCTTGATAAATAAAATCTAAGGATACTATATTCTGAACGTTAACTCTGACTGAAGATTCTGTATGAGGGAGAAACCCCTAAGATTTGAACATAGTAACATTTTGAAAATGCTATTTAAGTGAACACCTACTCTTCAACAAAGTTCTGCTGAGGCCCAATGATGGACCCTGGTCTGCAGATTCGTATCCAGGCAATGGCCTCGGCAGCACTCAGGCCGTAATGTTTCATCATATAACAGCCAATCAGAGTGCCAGTCCTGCCCAAACCAGCTAAAGGGAAAAAAAGTGGCAGTGTTAAATTACACAACCAACGGGACACTGAGCACAGTATATAGATCTAGGAGTAAAACTATAATCCTTCAGAATAGATTAGCCTATCCACTGCCTTTGTTGCAGTGTGACATTTACCTTTGCAGTGGACAGCGATGGCTCCTTCTGCGTTCTCGCAGATGTTGAGGAACTTCCTGACGATGGAGTCGTTTGGCGTGCTCCCGTCCACAAAGAACAGATCGTGGTGCTCAAAGCCAGATTCAGTGAAACGCCTGGCATCATACATCTTTTTGTTGAGTCTGATGACAGCGGTGATGTTGTGATTCCTGAAGTATGGGATGTATGCCTCAGGAGCGTGTAAAGGGTACCCTGAAGTAAAAAAACGAGGTTAATAATAGGTATAAAGATTAGGCCAGATATCCTTTTTTTTTTGTTGGTAACTTATAGACGTAAATGTTATTTACCATTCTCTATTTTGCTCTTTGGATGAGGCCCGCTGAACGCAAGAAACTTTCCTGGAATGATCCAGTTTAAGTCCCCATTTTCTGCCCTTTCGTAGTGCTCATATTCTTCCACGTCAAAGTTGGAGAAGTCGAGCCAGCCGTACTGCAGAGCCTGGCAGGGGGGAGAGAGGAGAGTTCATTCCAAGGGAGCATGACACAGCAAAACAGAAATGTAATTACATCTTAATATGACGTACCTTGTGAACACCACGAAGGCAGTCTAGGATATTCAGATTGTACATGCAGGATCCAAATGACGCATCTCTGAAACAAAAAATAAGATGAATCTTTTTTAGCACAACACCTAAACCATATTTATTTCCCTTTAAATACAATTTAACAAAATATCAACTGTTATCCAACCTACCCTGCTCTTTTAATGTCTTGTTTTGTTTCTTCTCTTAATACTTTTATTTAAATTCAACATGATATAGTAATATAAAGAACACAGGCACATAGGCCCTTAAAGGTCCCATGTCATGGCCATTTCTACTGATTATAATTCCATCGTTGAGGTATACTAAAATAGATTTACATTGTGCAATTTTCCAAACTCACATTGGTTTCTCATACAGTATCTCTGTATAGTAAGTGTATTTACTCTCTGTCCTAAACGGCTTGTTGGAGCTCCTGCCCCCCTCCCCCCCTCCCTTTGAGCCCAGTGGCCGTCTGCGAGACACAGCAAAACCCAGCCGAAACACACACACACACCCGCAGCCTGGCTGGGAGTTTGTGTTTGTGCTCAGGCTGAGTTCCACGGTGTCTCGCCGACCCCACACCAGTGAGCCAGCTCACACTGTCCGCTCCTCGCAATGTCCCACCGAGTGTGTGTGTGTGTGAGAAAGTCCGCGGATTGGTCCAAACTAAACGGCTCCGCGGACATTACGTCACTATACGGGGACGGGTGGCGCAGTGGTCTGTGCGTTTGATCATCAGATCAAGGGGGCGTTGGGGAACTCCAGTTCGAAACCCGCTCCCGCCCCACTGCGTCAGGCCGTTGTGTCCTTGGGCAAGACACTTCACCCGAATTTGCTCCTGTGGGTATTGTCCACAGTATATGACCATTACATGTATGATCTGTATGTGTAATGTGTATTTGTAAAGCGCTTTGAGAGTCTTTGATAAAGCGCTATAATAAAATATAAGGATTATTATTATTATTATTATTATTATACCCAAATACGTCACTGTACCCAGGAAGAAAAAGAGAAATCTCCAACGAGGCGTTCTGGGGCAGCATAGACAGTAGGGGTGTAACGGTACACGTACCCGTACCGAAATTATTCGGTACGGGCCCTTCGGTTCGGTACAGGTGTGTACCGAAGTGTACCGAACGAATATAACGTTAAACGTAAAAAATTGAGAACGTGAACAACTTTTTGGAAGTAATCTCAGGTGCTGCGTCGCAGCATTCAGAGTAATTTGCTCACATTGGGTTCAACGCGTCATAGAGCGAGCAAGTCATTTCATTGGATGAGAGGCATACTATGAGAGCTGGTCAGAGGGATGCGTTCAAATGTAGTCAGTAATTTGAGGAACTGTCGAAAATTAATGGCGAACGCAGATAAAGTTGAGCTCGAAAATCCTTCAGCATCATTGAAGTCTCCGGTTTGGGAACATTTTGGTTTCGCAGTTACGTACAAGGATGAAGAACAAAGACAGGTGGACCGAACCAAAGCTGTTTGTCGGCATTGTTCAACTAACATTGGTTACGCGGCTGGCAATACATCAAACTTGCACACTCTTGAAAAGGCATCACCCGAACGTGAATATCACCGGTACCAAAAGAAAAAAGACTGAAGTGCAAACCCAACTCCCACTAGCATTTAAGCCTCCACCACTCGCAGAGAGTTCAGACCGAGCCAAAGCTATTACAAACACCAAATATCCTTATGTTGCCATGTTAGCAAAGCGCTACCTGGCTGTATCTGCTACCTCTGTCCCTAGAGAGAGGGTGTTCTCCACAGCAGGAGACATTGTTAGTGCCAGCAGATCTGCCCTTTCGGCAAGCAATGTGGACAAGTTCATTTTTCTTTAAAAAAACATGAAAATACAATGACAAGCAAGTCATAATGTCAAGCTGGCTGCTTAGGAACTAGTACAGTACAGTTCAAATACAGATTATTTCAGTTCATCGAAAAGCTGCACCTTAATGTTTATTTTATTATATTTTGTATTTATTTGAGTGAATATTCACAGTTTAATAATAATTAAAAACCCAAAACTAATAGTTTATGTTTTGTGAGTACTAGTAGCCTACAGTAAAGTTCAAATACAGATTATTTCAGTTCATCGAAATGCTGCACCTTAATGTTTATTTTATTATATTTTGTATTTATTTGAGTGAATACATTATTCACAGTTTAATAATAATAAAAAAAAAATATATGTTTTGTTTTGTGAAAAAAAATTCTGCTGTACCGAAAACGTACCGAACCGAACCGTGACCAAAAAAACCGAGGTACGTACCGAACCGAAATGTTTGTGAACCGTTACACCCCTAATAGACAGGTCTTTTCTGTGTTAGAGTTTTACTCGCTACAGGGTGTACTTTGAGGGTTTGTGACTCTGCAGACCGTTTACATGCAGAAAAAGCTACATAACACACAAGGGGACGGGTAATAACCAGAAAAGCATGACATGGACCTTTAAGCCTTCTGGGTCTTGGGATCCCTGAGCCTTTTTCTTCTGTTGCAATTAAATCTAAACAAAACTGGTAAAAATAACAATGTGTTTTTTTTTTTTTTTAAACAACTCTGCAATATTTTCAAAGTATAATTTGACAAGATGTATGGACCCTATTTCCAAATTTCAGATGCAGCATATTTAAAAAAGAAAATTAAATATTTGTAGGATTAAGATGGAAGCATACGGCAAAACAGATCAGTCTGCTCTGATAATGACTTTGTTGTGTTGTTCACTGGGTTAATGTGAAATATACAGTACAGTAATAGTTACCTGAATGGAATATATGTTGAGTTCCTTGACACAAGCAGACTGTAGGCATCCTCCGGCATCATGTCTAGATTCATCACCTGTTAAAAACAAATCTCCAATCACTAGGTGCCTCTCAGGTTAAAAGCTGATATCATTATACACATATTATTCCACTTACTGCATATGAGCCAATGAGATAGGCAGCATTGGCTTGTTTCTTCTGATCTCCACAGGTGTAGAATATGATCTTCTTCCTTGAGAGTGTAATAGACTGTACAAAGATATTCAGAGCATCAGTATGAACTAGGGATGTAATGATACCAAAAACTCACGGTACGATAATATCGCGATAACAAGTCCACGGTACGGTATTTATCGCGATATTGAATAATACAAAATAAAATAAAATGTTTCTTTATTACATAATAAATCTGATTTGTACAGCATTTTAGTAGGATAGCAGTATTTTAAAGTGTCAAAAACAAAGTGACAGTAACAGACTGGAACAAGAAAACCAGTGTTGTTGTATAGTACTACCAAACAAAGTAGGCATTTTCTTTGTGCCACTGCATCTCACAAATAAACATTTAATAATCAGACCCTGCAAGAAAATAAATCAAGTTTCACTTTAGTTTTTCAAGTAACTCAACTCAAACTCACTAGTCACTCACTCAGCATCATCAGACAGGTTTTTAGGAATATGAGAATGTCCACATTTCCAGGTATTTATAAGCTGGGATGTTTGGGCATTTACAATATCCCGTGCTCTGGAAAAAACTCTCTCGCTTGGTACTGATGTTGCTGGGACAGCAGTGGTCGCGTTAACCGATTATTTTATTTATCAATGACGGAAAAATCTGAAAGCAGTCTGTCATTTTGACAGATTAGAACAAACTCGGAACAGCGCCAACGTTTCCCCGCAGCGAGGCTCTGGTGTTTGCCGTGTTATGCATGCCCTCCAAAAGGAAATTATATAGTTTCCAAACTGTACTTTGCCGTACAGATCAATACATGTCTGGGAGGTTTTGCTTTACGCTGTGCGCGCTCCCGCGAGGTGCACACGGCATAACACCGCCAATGTCTCTAGGTGTGTAAATGTAGCACTGTAAATACGATGTCCTGTTCTGTTGTTTTATGTTCATGTTGTAACCTACTTGCTGCCATGTTGGACAGGTCTCTCTTGAAAAAGAGATCGATTATCTCAATGGGACCACCTGGTTAAATAAAGGTTTAAAACGAAAAAAAGTGTTTTACATTTTTTTTTTTTTTTTAAATTAATTAAAAAACAAATCGCGGTAGATTTTGTGGGACGTTTATTTACCGCGATATTCGGTATATCGTTACATCCCTAGTATGAACTGAGATGTGATAACATTTTTCATTTTACATACAAATGTAATACTAAATTATGACATTGCAGTACCCACAGTGGCTTGAAAAAAAAGTAAATTCCTCATCGGAAAATTATTAAGGACTTTTAACCCAACTTAAAACAAACAATGACTTTTTACTTGCATTTTACGGATATTATAGCTATAAATATAACTGTAAAAAGTTGAAAAGTATTACTAGTACATGATGTGCAAAAAAACATACCTCTACTTTATTTTGGCTACCTAATGCAAGCATAAATATATTTTGATTGACCTGGCTCTATGGATCCTATTCTCTCTTCCAGGAAGTACAACTAAGATCGACGGTTTACTTTACCTTGAGCTTCTTTGTCAGCTTGCAGCTGAAGCGATAAAACATGGCCAAGTTAAGGGGACCAAAGTCCGCATAGAAGCTGAGAGAGGGGGAATAAGAAGTGTGTCAGAGTGGCTATGCAACCGGCTACAGTCTCTGGGGAAGTTTCATTAGATGGAATCAGCTACCTTACACTGAAACAGTAAAAACCCTGACAAAGTAAAGTCTATTTTTAGAAGCATCTGATGCTGTAATAGGTCACTCAGAACAGGACAAAATGCTGCAAAGACATGAGTATTTGTTGTACCACTGGCACACACATAGCTCTAAAGGTCGGTCAGGTTCTCTTCTCATGCCAATCTAACACCAGCCCATTCAAACAGCCATGCCCTTGACAAATGTGCCATTACTGGTTTAGTTTATGTTGTTTTGGTTATTTGAATCTATTCCAACAGTTAAAGGAGGCTTTTAGTTTTAACAATCTTTCTTTATTTTAGGAATAGTATTGCTTCCTTTGAGGAAACAAATCTGAATATGTTGGATAACTTCATACCAACGATTTCTGCAATCAATGCTAGAATCACTGCATCTACTCATGGTTGAAATGATATACTATATGATATACTATAAGTTACTACAACGGTGCATAACAAAGGTATAGACATTGCAGACTTATAATGTCAAAGAAGTGCAAAGGTCAGGTACAAAGCACACACATATTACAGCAACGAGCTAAATGTGCATGTTCAGGTTCCAAAAATGGGATGAGACTGAAAGCTTACTTCTCATATGCCAGCTCTTCATCTATGCAGAAACAGTGTCGATCAGCTGTGCTCTTGATCTTTTGCTTTAGAATGGCGAAATACAGTTGATCTGGGGAGGGAGGGGGGTGGGGTAGGGAGACAACATAAAGAGGCAGTTAAATACTTGCTTTTGTCATGCACATAAACTTCTGTGGTCTCTAATTTCCCCTAGCCCGGGACCCCTTTTACTACTCCATTCATTTTTCTCGCGACTTACCCTTGACAAACTCCATGCATCTTGACGAAACATCGTCCGTGGTCATCTTGTTCATAGTTCTGAACATGTTTGTTTTGCAGAGAAACGTACGAGGTAGATTTTCTTTACGACGAAGACTTGCGCATACTGAGTAAAACTTCCACGGTTAGTGTACGAGCTGATTAAAAAAGCTATACGTTAAAAAGTAACAGTATAACACAATCGTTTTCAAATCTGATTTAACAATCCGGGACAAAAAGTTAACAGTCAAAGGGAGAAGAAGAGTTTCGATTGCAAGTGCGCACTCTGCTAAAAAAAAAGGTCTCTACCGGACTCCTCCCCTCACTGATCGGCGACACGCTATTGGCTGCGAGATATCCATGCCGCTACATGATTAGAGGAACGGCCTGCCAGTCTTGCTCAGCCTCGCCTCTTTTAGTTTAAAGTTCTCTACATAAGACATATGATAGGCCCCGGAACGTTGCCAAAACGGTTGCTAGGGCGATCTCCCAGCCAATCAAATACGCGATTTCCACTTCGGCGAACCTCCTTCCCTGAGATTTGAGCTGCGCAAGGAGGGTAAAGAACAAAACCCAGGAAAACGCCATGAAAAATACAGTGTCCTAACTATAAAACACACTAATACACCACTCCGTCTCTATGCATAGCCCATTAAGATATGATGGTGCAGACAAAGCGAAGTAATGGTGTAATTTGCTTCCTCTAAAATACCGGAGCAGGAAGTTATGATAATATTATGCATCTTTGCACACAACACAAGGCAAACCCAGGCCAGTACATTGACGATTACACGACAGCCGAATGAGCCGATGTCTTTACATTCGATGGAAGACTTTCTAACACACCCTGCTCACTTAATTACATGCATCCTGCTGTGGGCGTCCGTGTCATATTTGCAGAGAAGGCCTTCAATTGACAGGGTTCTGCAGGCCCCTTACCTGTTATCTCAGTGTAAACATCAGAGGTTGGCTCCGCCTCTGAGCTGCTGAGAGCTGCACAGCGCTTTTTCCTCGACTCGGCTCTTCTCCTCTCGCTCTTGCGCTTCATGTTCGTGGCTGCACGGAGGACATTCCCGGGCAGCAGCAGCAGCAGCAGCAGCAGCAGCAGACCTCCTTCGGTTCGCAGTGCGGCGGCGTGTCCCCGGTTTGTTGTTCTTATGGCATGGTCTGGGGATGTATGTGTGTTGCAAATGTGTCAAGGTGTCAACTGAGGTCCCGCCGTCTGCTCCAGCCTCTCCGGTGGTGCCGGTGACGTCTGAGAGCAGGGGCAGGTTTCGGCTCTCTGAATCTCATGCACGTGACGTATCAGGATTAGATGTACAGTGCCCACCCTCCACTGTTCATCTTCTGCAGCTGGAGATAACGTCGGGAATGTAGTCCTATGTGATCCCATTGGAAATGACTGTGGGAAGACCATGTATTAGGTCTGCAGTGTGCATGTGGATAACATGAGACAACACAGATGGAGCAAGGAAATTGCAATAAAACTTCACTTGCATTTTTATGTAACCACCCCCCCCTCCCAAAATACCCCAAAGACTACGACACTACTGTTGTGCAATAACACTTGTGTGCTATATGTAAATTGGAAAATGTATTACAAATGCTAATTGTAAATTATATTATGTGCATGCTCTTTATCTAAAAGTGTTTTATTTGTTGCGGTAACAATGTAAATATCCCCTCTGTGGGACGAGTAAAGGTATTGTGATTCTGAACACTTATAAGAGGATAGTCTAAAAAAAGTACATTCTGTAATAAGGTAATCACTGACAGAAATGCACACGTTGTTTTAGAGTTTTATTAATAGCCTACCACACACAACCATCTTAAAATGATGAGAGTAACCTAATAGAAAAAGTAGACATTTTTATAGTAATGTCTCTGTTATGCACTCAATCAAAACATAATTTATGTATTTGAACAAAACCTTTACAACAATGACCACAATGAGCTCTTTTATTCTCAAACAACATTACATGTTCTTCATTGGCAGAACAACTTGTGCTCAGTTCATTTACTGGCTTTCACCTTCATCAGCACATGAGATGTGATTGGAAGCTCTGGAAATACTAGTAAGAAGATCTTGAATAAAGCCAAGAGTTTTAGAGAAGACTTGTGTTTCAGACCTCACCTATCCAATATTTTGGCAGAGCAGAAGAGCAAGTACTTGATAAAAAAAAAAAAAAGACTGAGTATAACTGAGACACAAATATGTTTTATAAAATGATGATGCCCAAACAGTGATGAAGAATGAAGCATGCTTTCAAGCAGACCAGCTGGCTACACATGAATGATTGTTGGCTTATCACTGAAGTCCAGAGTCTGTTGAACCCCGGCGAGCTGCAGCAGCCAGTTAATGGGCATGTTGTCCAGGCGGTTCATGTCAGAATGGGAAAAATGAACCCGAGAGCCTGTAGAGAGAAGAAGGAGTGAGCAAGGAAACAAGATAGTAGTTGAGGCAGAGACAGACCTTGAGCACAATACAATGAAACAGAGAGAGTCAGGATTACCTGGTCCTGCGATGATGGCTCCACCTTGTTGATGTAGGTCACCCTGGAAGTCGAATGCAGGGCTAGTCATGGCCCTCCATATACTCTTCACTTGCCCCATAAAGACACCAGACTTCACATGGGGACTGGGTTGGGCTATGAACATAAACACCAACCCACACACCCACACCCACACCCACACACACACACACACACACACACACACACACACACACACACACACACACACACACACACACACACACACACACACACACACACACACACACACACACACACACACACAGATATATTTATATTAATCACATCTTAACATATGCAGTGTTTATGTCCTCATATATTGGATTACCTGAGTCTGTAAATTTCTCCTCTCTCTTCATCCCCAGCTTTTGATAAATGATCCTCTCGGGGTCCACATATATTTCATAAGGATACCCGGTCAGTAAACAGAACGGCTAGAGAGATTACAAACGAAATCAATATGACATGATGAATGAGTGTGGCATACTGTAAATATGCATGAAAATCACTGAATGAATTACCTCTATGTGATGATGAGCAGCCTGTCCAATCACAACCAGTCTAATGGCAGCATCCTGCAAAAAAACAAAACAAAATGTGGAGTTTTCGAAATTGTCTTATAATCATCCAAGCTACCATAGGGCATTAACTCTAATTTGTATGTCAAGTTTGCAACAAAGTAATAGCCTCCAGTAGATTAGGTGTGAATCAGGACTTACCTCTAGTACTTCTTTAGGTATTTTACTCAAATCCTCCACATATTCCTTACAGCTGTAGCACAGGAAATTCTGCAGAGACACCAAATGTAATACATAAATAGACTAGATATGCGATATTACATTACTTTTTAAATCTCTGGTCTTGCACCTTAATAATGTTTATCCCCCTGTCTTCACCTATGAACTCTCCATCCCTTCATAGCAGAGGAAGCTGTTGCTGCATCTGTCCAACAAGGCTGATGCTCAACTGTGCCTACTGTGATGCCTTTTGAGGCTCAATCAACATAAACTTGAGCCTCTCATGATTTTACTTGAGGCAGTGCAGCCAATGAGTCACCAGCAAAATAAAGCCAAACAAAGTTATTCCCCTACCCGCACGAAAATTATCACCGATTTCCTGTCTCGATATAATTTCTTGAACGGAAAGGAGACTCCATACCGGTCGTAAATTAAACAATCTTCGACGTCTTCAAGATCATAGTCGATAGAAAGGCTCCCAATGTCCTTGCTTTCTATAGTTACTTGTCGAATTATTGGTGAAATTGCTTCAGCCATTTTCTCCTGAGGCTTCCCGAACTAGCATTGCTATTTTGGGAGTTGCTGTTCAGGCTTGAAGAGTTGGTGGCTGCAAATTCACGCCCATAATTTGCATGTGTGTGTGCGTGCGTGTTAGTGTGTGTGCGCGCGCGTCTGTGTGGGAGAGAGAGAGAAAGAGAAGGGGGAAAGTGAAAAGCAAAGTAACAGTAGTTTATATTCATAATATATTCGTTATATTATTTGGTACTATGCTATTTTTTTAAATTATTAGATGCTATTGCTAATTCGTTTTAAGACTAAACCAAGATAACCCTGGTGACATCATTACATTTTTATCAAAATATTCACCTAACCGAGATTTTTTTCATTACTTTAATGTATCTTTTACATACTTGCTGTTTATAATCAGGGGTGCAAATAACTTTTTTGCCCTGGTTCTCAAAGGAGCACCTGGAGATGTTGCTTGGTGCTCATCCTTAAAATGAAATAAACCGTAACTTTTGAGGGGGTCTTGACTTTATTTGCCAGACACACGGCTCAGAACACACAGAGGTGAACACAGAGCACACATGCAGAGGTGAACACAAGACAACATTAGCACGACCAGTAATCCTACAAGCTGTCATCACTACCCTCCTGACTGTTCTCCTCACTGTCTTCCTCTCTGTCAGACATGGTAGCTGATGATGTAGGCCTACTACTTCCTCTCTGGTTGAGTCTGCGATTAGCTGCTTGCATCCACAAGTCAACAGCTGGGTTTGGGTCGAAAGTCTCTGTTGTCATCTTAGACAAGTGGATGTAATCAAATAAGTATGTGAACATAACCAATAACCTACCATAGCCAATAACAAATGAATGTAACTTATTTTATTTGTGTTGTTCATTCATATCTTATTTTACCTTAACATTTTTTTATTTATGCTTTTTTTTTATCTCTCCAGTTTTAAAGGATCTTTTTGGTTACTGTCCTATAGTATATACATTGGAATGATTTAAAACCTGTTTATCCCAATAATTATAAAGGAGTGCTTTGGAAATATGTGTTTACATAAATTGTGACCAAACCGTTTGAACTTAGACAAAGAGTCCTTTACCTCACTGAGTTGTAGTTAACTTATCAGCCTCTCAGTCTGACTGGAGAGGACTCTCCCTCCACATTATTGTAGAAACATCTTCTTCTGATATCCGTTAGAGCAGCTAGCACGGCACCAGATTCTAATAACAACTCCCTCTCTCTCTCGCATTTTGGCTGTGAGCTGCGGGCGCCAGATAAGCCAACATCCCCCATTTTCATCACTTACAGCGCCCATCGTACAGGGCAAATGAAACGTGTAACCGGGATGAAAAGGGTGTTACATTTAGTTAATTATGAATATTGTTACATCAAGGCCGAAAATTAGGATGAGCCCCAACGGTCAAAATGTTTTTTTCCCTCCCAGAACTGCCAGTGCAGCGCCTCCACAGATCTGGCGCCCTATATAGGCGAACATCTAGCCAGTGCTACGGGCTGGCCCTGAGTTCATATGCAACTCGCAAATATCTGTCTCTCTCTCCTCTATCTCTATATAGATAGCGATCGAGCGAGATGAGAGATGAGAGAGAGAGCGAGAGTAGAGAGATCTCTCTCTCCTCTCTCTCTCTCTCTCTCTCTCTCTCTCTCTCTCTCTCTCTCTCTCTCTCTCTCTCTCTCTCTCTCTCTCTCTCTCTCTCTCTCTCTCTCTCTCTCTCTCTCTCTCTCTCCTCTATTTACTCTTCTACCTTCTCTCTCTCCCTCTCTCAATGTTGGTACGCAAATGCGCTTTGTTTCAAATGACCCGGTGCTCTTTTTTTGGCGGAGGTGCGCATGCGCACCTGCGCACCAGTTATGTGCAGCCCTGTTTATAATGCTGTTTTGTGTGTTTTTTGGTCGTGGGGGAGAGCGGGGTATTGTAAGACATCGGGTAATGTGAGACACCCCCTGTATCTAGGCAACGGAACACAATTGTGGTCATGTGACCATTATGTTTTCAAGCCCCTCCCATTCCCCCCTTGCCAGGAAGGTGAAGTTGGTGCTGGTGCTGTGGTAAGTACGTTTTTTCACAAAAATGTGTTTTTTGCATGTAAAAGTAAATTTTCTTGCTATGAACTTAATCAACTATTGTGTCAAAGCAAATTGATTCAGGTAGAAAAACTTATATCATACATGTTGATGAACTTCCAACATATAAAACCATGTGATTGATGCTAGTTGAAGATTAGCCTGAATTGCTAGAGATGTTGTTTTTTCTAAAATGGTGGCTGTGGGGTTAAGTGAGACAAATGCTGTGGGGTAAAGTGAGACACCATGAAGCACAAGTTAAGTTTAGTCTTACAGAGAGAAACAATATCTCTGTCCCTGCCAATTGGACAGAGAAACAATGTGCAGGTAGGCTAGGGTGTGCAAGATGTCACATGAGGTTAACTTAGAACAAATGATCTTGCCACAAAGCTAAATCTTATAACAATGAATTCTCTACTCTTTAGGAATAGAGTGGTTTGGCAGGTTCCTAGCACGTCGCCATCTCTCTGTCCGAACTCCGGAGGCAACATCCCTGGGAAGGGCTACAGCCTTCAATACAACTACAGTGGGGGAGTTCTTCGAAAATCTGGCTGTAGTGATGGACAGGTGACAGAATTCATTTTTTAGTTGCAAATGTTTTATGGAGGCTTTACCTGTAAGATTTGGTTTTGATTCTGATAAGGTTCTTCCCTTGCCTCTCTTCTTTAACAGGCACAAATTCCCTCCACACATGATTTACAATGTGGATGAAACAGGCGTTGTTACAGTTCAAAAGCCACGGCAGGTAAGCTACACATGATACACTAGAGAGCACCAGACTGATACTGAGTGGCTTGTGATAATGACCAGTGAACCTGTGAACTGGGAAAAACGAATGGACTGAAATGAAATACAATGTACCTTTAGACCAATAGTAGCCTACTGATTGCACATGCCATTGATTCTAAACTTTCTATTTGATTCAGGTTGTGACAGAGAAAGGAAAAAAGCAAGTTGGTTCTATCACATCAGCTGAGAGAGGAGAACTGGTGACTGTGGTGTGTGCAGTGAATGCTGCTGGGAATGCCATACTTCCCATGTTTGTCCTCCCCAGAGTTAGGTTTAAGGATGACTTCATGATAGGAGCACCTCCAGGAGCCAAAGGTGCCTCCACCAGAACAGGATGGATGAATGAAGACACCTGGCCTGAGTTCCTTGATCACCTGATACAGCACACTCAGTGCACTCCCACCGTCCCAATCCTTGATAATCTTAAAGCTCACATCTCACTCAAGGCAGTAGAAAAAGCAAAGAGCAACAGTATTGTTATGCTCACCCTTCCACCCCACACATCCCATCGCATGCAGCCTCTCGACGTGACCGTGTATGGCCCGTTAAAGACCCTATACAACCGAGCTCTTGATGGGTGGATGAGGTCTAACCCTGGCAAAACAGTCTCCATCTACCAGATTGCAGGACTTGTGAATGAGGCCTTCTTGTCAGCAGTGACACCACGGAATATCACTTCTGGATTCAAGTCCACTGGGATTTTCCCATATAACAGAGATATTTTCCCTGAGGAAGCGTTTGCACCATCCATGGTGTCAGACCGGCCAAACCCTGAGCTGCAGCCTGCATCCACTGGTCCACTCCCTGCAGATGAACCACCTGCTGCAGATGCTAATCCATCCACTCCGCGTGGTCCACATGGATGTGCCTCGCCAGCTGGTCCTATGTTCAGAGCCCCAGACTGTTTACTAGCTGGTTCTGATTATGGGTCCATGTTCTGACCCCCAGACTGTGCACTAGCTGGTTCTGATTGTCCTTTGCTCTGACCCCCAGACACTAGCTGGCTCTAAAGGTCCTGTGTTCTGACTCCCACACTGTGAATGTTAATTAAAACATATTGAATTATATTATGTTGTATTTGATTTACTTTTTAGTACTTTGGGTTACTTTCAAGTGTTTAAAAAAAATGTGCTTAATTGACCAATCCTCATGATTCTGATACTAGTCCGACATTAGTTTTGGAATGTGTTTTTTGGAACCCCCTTGATTTCTCTGGTCTGTCTAAGTTTACCCCTGAGCTGGGGTGAAGTGAGACACAAGACCACTTTTTTTTAAACAATCATATTTTCATTGCCCTTTGTCCTGAAAACATTCTGATAATTTCCATAGCTAGGAAACATCCTGAATTAATAGGAAATGTGTAAATGTTACTGATATATAATTTTAGCTCGGCTAGAGGGGAGCAAATGTAAAAAATGTCTCACATTACCCCACTCTCCCTACTGTCATGGTATTAGTCTTATTAAACAAGGACCGTGTATAAAAGACACGATTTTCAAAAAATGTATGACCTATTTTGCTATAAGCTCCATTCCATAACAATGAATGACACTTGAATAAGGCATAATTATCTATCTCACTAACACTAACAAAGATACACTTTAAATGAATTTGAAACATAAGAAAGAATGCGATCAAATTAATGTCGACAAGATTGGGTTCTCAATGACACATAGGGAAAAATAGTTATAGTCCGGGAAGAATGTAAACATTAACGCAAAAAAATATATTCTGAAACGTAAAACTATGATAACGCACAAACGGTTATACAACTTGGGTCACATTGGGCTTTTCTTCTCCCTCAAAGCCCTTCATCCAGCCTCCATGACGAATTACGAATCGGCCTCGTCGGCTTCCTTCGCGCTGCCCTCTCGGTGCGGAAGTGTTGTCCTCCAGCAGCAGCAGGAGCAGAGCCAGAGCTGTACTGTGTGGATAAACACTACGCTAGTTCTGTAGCAGGGTCTCTCGCCTCCTCGTCTCTACTGCCCCGACGTGTCAGCACTCAGCTCGGCTGTGCAGCATAGCAGTATTATGCGAGCACCGTCCGGAGTGAGGGAGCACCGTGTGAAGTGGTGAGACATGTTTCATGTTATGGCTACAGCTAAGTTAGCATCCAGTGATGGAGCAAGCTAGCCTGTCAGAAAGCTCAACTGGGTTAGCACTGTAACCGTGTGTTTGCTCCAAACTAGGGCCGTGAGTGTATCGCTATGATGGAGATAATGTTAAACCTGTCGCAGTAAAACAGAATCAACAAGTACAACGTTTGTGACTGTGTGAGAGAAACAAATGGCCACCTGTTCAATGTTTACATATTTTCATTCGGCTGCAACCAGACGTTGCATCGGTGCTGCTTCCTTGCTAGACCATCGCATTACAATAACGAATGTGTTATTTATTACTCTGCCGTAGACAGCGTAATCAACGTGTGACAAGTAATGTATTCATAACACAAGTAATATAGGTCAGATGGTTTCGACAGCTCGGTTTCAAAGCGTTGTGCTCATGAGCCTCATGTGTTGATATTGTTATTTGCCCAACTCTTTCACTATATATAGGGCTACCTTGATTGTCCTTCACCATATAAGAAGAGGCTCACTCTCTTCTTTTTAATCAAATTGTATGTCATTGTGTACATTCAGATTGAGAGCTCATAATTATTAGTCATGGTTGGGAAAGGATATCTTTTTAATTCCAATGTAAGTGAGAAGCGAAATTATCCATAGTCTTTATTGTGTGCAAAAATTCATTTTGAAGTTTAGCAGGCTACGGTGTTGTATGCCAGGTAAAACTATTTGAAATCATTAGTGTTTCAATAATAATCGCTCTTTGGTTTTCTATTCCTTCAACGGCAAAATTCCTCTTTAGGAGAAAACACAAAGAACACATTTGTATTGTTACCACATTAGCAAAGGACAGTGATGCAGAATAGCTTGACCTTTATGCAGGGCTCTTCCTTTACAAGTGATATGAACTCAAACATTTGTGCTAATATATAATTAAGATTTGTTATGCAACTCTTTTTCTCTACCACTCTATTGAAGGGTTGATTAAACCTCAGCTCTTTTTTTTGCACCATCCTAAATGTTGTTGTGTGTTGTTCTTTTTGTATTCTTTTCACATATATGAATGTAATATTTTTAATTTATTGAAGATTATGTTAAAGGTGGGGTATGTTTGAGAAACCGGCTCGAGATACACTTTTTGTTATATTCCATGGAATGCTCTTAACATCCCGATAGCAATGAATATCTTAAGGGCTTTGACATAAAAAAATGTCATCTGTGGAAGCCATAGTACTTTAAAAAGCACGACCAATCATTTTAGCCGGCCCGGCTAAAGTAACTGGATGGCCTTCCTGCCTGTCAGCCTTCCATCTGTGCACAAACTTATCTCGTGCCCTCATTGGTCATGTGCGCGTTCGTGTGTTGGAGGAGGGGCTCTGTAAGGAAGTGGCAGATTTGTTCCGGCTGTGTATTTTCAAATTCTAGCGCACTCGAGCTGGTTTCTCCAAAATTACCTACCCCACCTTTAAGACTGCATTAAGCACTTACGAGTTTTAAATATCATGCTTGTTTGGGTAAATGAAACACAAACAAGGTTCAAAGTAAGGAACTAAAAGCATCAAAATACCAAAGTATGTAATAATTGGTAAAAAACCCTGAATGTATTGTATAGACACAAATATGATACCAACAATGATACCACTAGTTTAATTGTCAAGGTCCTTTGAATATTCCCAAATCATGGATTTACTAATGAATTGAATCCTGTCTGTTCTAGAGTTTCCTTGAATCATCTATATGGGCCATCTTCTCTCGAAAAATGGTTACCGCCTGAAGAAGAGGACTCGTAAGTTGCATCACAGGAAGAAGAAGAAGAGGAACTGTTTCCTGCAGCTGCCCTGCATGCTCTGCTTCATCGTCCACAGCAACAGCAGCGGTCTTGACGACGAAGGTGACCATTTGGAGGCCGGCATCAACGGCAGTGCGTGCCGTCACAACAGCATCACAGGGATCAGTGTTCCTGGTGTGGGTGGAGTTGGCATCGGAGCAGCAGCTGCCTCGAAGCTCGCCGAGCGATACGCAACACTCACATCTCCTGAAGACTGCTCCAAGTACCTGCTTTCTCCGCGGGAGCTGGCTATCTGGGAGGGCCAAGGAAGGAGCCTCTTATCAGCTGTTCCTGCCAAACTGGTTCCACCACCCGCGCTATTCAGATCCGCTGGGGTGTCTGTGAACGTTCCCCTACCTGTGCCTGGCAGCACCAGTGACCACACTGAGATGGTAGGGAGCTGCACCAACAGCACCACATGTTGTAGCTGCTGAAGATGCAGCATTGACCCACATCAGTTCAGAGGGCCGAAACAGCCATGATTTACCAGTACAGCTGATTCAAATTCAAAGGTTTTATTGTCATATGCAAAAAGCTACAGTGTAGAAATGGCAATGAAATTCTTCTGATCTGAGCTCCCCCAACAATGCAACATATATAATGAAATACAACAATTAAAAATACAAAATAAAAAGTAGTGCAAAGAGTCTCATTATTCATAGGGCTTTAACTCAAGAACATTTAAGAAAGTTTACACATAAGTGCCCATAGGAGACTGATTACCTATTTAAATTAAACAATCTGTCACCCAGATGAGTTCTATCATGTACAATGAACAAAATAACAATTGTTAAAAATATGTTTGACGAGACGAAAAAACTGTTCTGGCAGTGATTTATGAGCATTACAATATATAAATCGTCTACAGTGGGTTTGTTGACCAGTGCCGCAACTTTTCATACTAGTATGTATATACACTGAACAAAAATATAAACGCAACACTTTTGTTTTTGCTCCCATTTTTCATGAGATGAACTCAAAGATCTAAAACATTTTCTATATACACAAAATAACCATTTCTCTCAAATATTGTTCACAAATCTGAAAAAATCTGTGATAGTGAGCACTTCTCCTTTGCCGAGATAATCCATCCCACCTCACAGGTGTGGCATATCAAGATGCTGATTAGACAGCATGATTATTGCACAGGTGTGCCTTAGGCTGGCCACAATAAAAGGCCACTCTGAAACGTGCAGTTTTGCTTTATTGGGGGGGTCCGAAAACCAGTCAGTATCTGGTATTAGGGGTAGGGTTAGGGTTAGGGTAATGTTGTGAATCGAGTGGCCCATGGTGGTGGTGGGGTTATGGTATAGGCAGGCGTATGTAATGGACGACGAACACAGGCCACTCGATTCACAACATTACCCTACCCCTAACCCTACCCCTACCCCTAACCCTACCCCTACCCCTCACACCAGATACTGCCTGGTTTTCAGACCCCCCCAGACCCCCCCAATAAAGCAAAACTGCACGTTTCAGAGTGGCCTTTTATTGTGGCCAGCCTAAAGCACACCTGTGCAATAATCGTGCTGTCTAATCAGCATCTTGATATGCCACACCTGTGAGGTGGGATGGATTATCTCGGCAAAGGAGAAGTGCTCACTATCACAGATATTTTCAGATTTTTGAACAATATTTGAGAGAAATGGTTATTTTGTGTATATAGAAAATGTTTTAGATCTTTGAGTTCATCTCAAGAAAAATGGGAGCAAAAACAAAAGTGTTGCGTTTATATTTTTGTTCAGTGTAAGTCTATTCAAACTTTACACCAAAAGCAACAGCATTTTTTAATCCTCTTTTATTCTGTTCTAATTGAATATCCAAGGTATAGGGTGCTGTTGGTATTGTTTGATAATGTGGGTGGTGGGAGTTTCTTAAACACCGTAATTGTATTTAAAGGCTTTACACTTCAATGTGCCTTGACTTGCCTGCAGTAACTGTTCCAGCTGGCTGATCTGTGTGTGTCTCTGGGTGCAGGTGTGTAAGAGGAAGTGCTCAGAGGTGCAGAGGTGCACCCCCTGTAAGCAGCCGCGCTGCGCCTTCGCCGCCCCTGACGGAGTGCTGGAGAACGGGGGAGTGGGAGGAGGTGGAGGAGAGGTCGCCTCAAACTCTGAAACTGGCCACTGCCACCTCCCCATCTGTCCACTCCCCTCCTCCTCCACTTCTTCTTCCTCTG